GAGTAAACTTTGCTGAATACACACACACACACACACACACACACACACACATCTTCCTGTGTATTTGCCATAAGTAGTGATTTTCAGCTCTGTAATTCCTCCATCTATTTACTGCTAATGCTATTCATAAATGTGCATGCATTGTCTTTATCTTTTTGGTTTTAGATATTAACATACCATGGAATATGAAGATTTAGATGTCTATTTTGCTACCCCAACTGTATACACACACATACACATCTCTGCCCAACCTCCAAAATAATTTTACTGCACTTTTGGTGAGCTCAGTGTTTAGCACTTATTATTTAATGTTTATGCAACCTTTGGTTGTCATGGGGATTTAACATTGTATCCTTTTTGCTTTGCCTATTTGCTATATCAAATACATCAAGAAACTGACTTGTTTTTCTTGGAGATATCTTTTCTGGAGCCTCTTTCTTCCTATTCAAGTTTGAATGGGACCTGTGTCTGTCCGGGCTAGATGCAGTTCCAGAAGTGCAGTAATCACGGAGGTGCTTCATCCTGTGTGGGATTCCTCTCTTTGTCTCTCCCATGATTACGTTACATTGTGTAAGACTTTTCCTTGCTAGTAGACTTGCTCTTGAGTTTCTCCATACTGTGTGAAGACGAGGCGGTGCTGGAAAACTCATGTGGCTAGGGCAGGGTTAGGGTGAGGGTTAGAGCCTGTTTGGAACTCTGCTGCACAGCAGAAGGTGAGTGGCAGGTGAGGGAACATTACTGCCTAAGCTCCGCCTCTCGTCAGATTAGCAGTGGCCTTAGATACTCACAGAAATGTGAACCCTATTGTGAACTGACCTGCGCACGTGAAGGATCTAGGTTGCTCACTCCTATGAGAATCTAATGCCTGAAAACAGCTTCATTCATTTCCCACCACCACCCCTCAAGTTCCCACACCCCTAAGCATCCCCATCCATGGAAAAATTGTCTTCCACGAAACTGGTCCCTGATATCGAAAAGGTTGGGAACCTCTGGGCTAAGGGTTATGGCAACCTTTAGGAATTTATGGAAGTCTCCAGTCAACAGACAATATCCTCGGTTCTACAAGCGTATGTGAGGGATTCTACCAACAATCTTAGTGTGCTTGGAAGCACAATCTTCCTTAGTCAAGCATAGGGATGTAAATGCAGCCTGGCTAACGCCTTGTTTTGTTTGTTTGTTTAAGATAGGGTCTTGCTTTGTCACCCAGGCTGGAGTGCAGTTGTGCAATCATAGCTCACTAAAGCCTGGAACTTCTGGGCTCAGGCAGTCCTCCTGCTTTAGCATTCTGAGTAGCTGGGACTACAGGTGTGCTCCACCACGCCCATTTCCAACTGACATCTTGATTGTAGCCATATTAGGCCCTAAACTGAGGATCCAGTCATGCCTTGCCAGAACTCCTGACCCACAAAATCTGCAACAACACATATGTGTGCTTTCAGCTAGTAAGTTTGTAGTAATTTGTTAGCAGTATAGAAAATGAATATTTCTTTTCTTTCCAAATTATTTCTTATTTGTTCATTTTGACACCTAAACTCAGATTAAAGGACTTTTTTCAAGTATCACATGATCCTCAGCTATTTTCTTATATTTAATCATTCCCCAAAAAGATAAGAGAATTTGCAGGTATAAAGTTTTTTGAAGCTTTGACACAATGTTCTCACCACCAGCCTGGAGCTGGGGAAATACCTCTATCCAGGAATAAAACACCGGTTTGTTTTGTCGTGGCTCACACCTGTAATCCCAGCACTTTGGGAGGCCCAGGCAGGTGGATCACGATGTCAAGAGATAGAAACCATCCTGGCCAACATGGTGAAACCCCATCTCTACTGAAAATACAAAAATTAGTTGGGCATGGTGGTGCTCACCTGTAGTCCCAGCTACTTGGGAGGCCGAGGCAGGAGAATCGCTTGAATGCAGGAGGTGGAGATTGCAGTGAGCCGAGATCTCACCACTGCACACCAGCCTGGCAACAGAGCTAGACTCTGTCTCAAAAAAAAAAAAAACAAAAACACTGATTTGTTCAAGCAGGATACTATGTGATATTAACTTCTCACTTCTATTTCAAGGTTAATCCATGGGGATAATAGAATAAAGTATCAAATCTGTGTTAAAGCACCTCTAAGTAAAATGCCAGGAGAAAGTACTTTAAATTGTGCAATATCAACGCTGCATCCTTATCAGCCTTGTTCTTACTTATCCTAAAAATTCGCTAAATCTTTCAGCTTGAAAACTCTTCACCAATTAATCTAAGAAGCTTAACACTACAAAACATTACAAAAGATTAATTCTCTTGCACACATTATCTGATATAGGTGAGGTGATGTGATGGGTCAGTCAACTAATCAATGAATTATCCATACAATGGAATACAGAACTCCACAATAAAGAGTAATATACTACAGACATGTATAAAAATAGGAATGAATCACAAAACAATTATGCTAAATAAATAAGAAAAGACAACTACAAAAGACTATATGCTTTTTGATTTTATTAAATTAAATTCTAGAAAAGGCAAAAGTATAGTGACAGCTGATTAGTGCTGCCTGGGGCCATGGAAAAGGGAAGAGACTAATTGCAAAGCAGAATGTGGAAACTCTTTGGAATGAAGCAAACATTCTATATGTTGATAGTTGTGATGGGTACAAGGGTGTTGATGTTGAATTTTACACTTAAAATCTTTGAGGCTGAGGTACAGTGTGTCACACCTGTAATCCCAGCACTTTCGGAGGCCACAGTGGACTAATCGCTTGAGCTCAAGAGTTTGAGATCAATCTGGGTAACATGGCAAAACCTTGTCTCCACAAAAAACACAAAAATTAGCCAGGCATGGTGGTGCACACCTGCAGTCTAGCCACTCAGGTAGCTGAGGTGGGAGAATGACTTGAGTTCAGGAGAGAGGTTGCAATGAACTGAAATCGTACCACTACACTCCAGCCTGGGCAACAGAGCGAGACCCTGTCGAGAAAAAAAAAAAATCCTTGAATTTAGGTGTGGAAAGTCTCAAAGGATAGACAGATTTTAACTTTTTTTCCATTCTAAAAGACTACATATCCCTACACATGTAGACTCAGGCAACAGGATGAACATAGAATTGAGCCTAAGCACTTTGTTCCCCAAACTAGCAAACAGATAAGAAACAGTTTCCACACACTTGGCGTGGTGACAACATGGGAAAGAAGTACTTTATCTTGAGAGCATCTTGCAGTGGGAACAATCAGATACTGTTTCACTGGTGACTCCTTCAGACCAATTTCTGAGCCTTTGAAAGAAATGCGGAAGAATAAAGAAATTGAGAAAGTGAGGAAGTTCTAGAGTTGTAACTGGATGGGTAAAGAAAAAAGTATTATGTTATTACAGAATCCTTTTCTTCCAGTCTGGTGGAAACAAAAATCTATTAAAGTGCATTCACTGATTTTTATTTTTGAGATGGAGACGGAGTTTCATTCTGTCGCCCAGGATGGAGTGCAGTGGTACGATCTTGGCTCACTGCAGCTTCCGACTCCTGGGTTCAAGCAATTCTCCTACCTCAGCCTCTCAAGTATGTTGGAGTACAGGCGATTGCCACCACATCCAGCGAATTTTTGCAGTTTTAGTCGAGAAGGGGTTTCACGATGTTGGCCAGGCTGGCCTTGAACTCTTGACCACAGGTGATCCGCCCCCCCCCTTGGCCTCCCAGAGTGCTAGGATTACAGGCATGAGCCAACGTGCCCAGCGTAATGATTTTTTAAATTATGAAATGAGGATATTACTTTTAATGTCTAAAACATTAATTATATTAAAGTTTAATTACTGCAGTGACTACAACAGCAGAATGTAGTTATAGGCAAAAATTTTGCCTACTCAGCAGGTTTTTTTTCCATGGGAAAAGAAAATCTCACACCTCAGTTGCTCTGAATAAATACTTCAGGGCTGCTATAGTGTCATCTTTTAGTGATTGGTGCAATCAATGTTTCTTCCTAATGTTTCCAATTAAGGCAAGTTGTCATCTAGATGTCAGAGCTGTCTTTAGGGTACAATTCTGAATATGTTTTTCAAGCAACTTTAAAAACTTTAAGGTTTTTTATAAAGAAAGAAAAATGTGGCAATTATTTTCAAATTACGAAATAATGATATAAATAATTATATTCAGAGATGATATACAAATAACATTATTTAAAATTTTTTATTTCGATAGTTTTGGGGTAATAGGTGGTTTTTGGTTACATAAATAAGTTCTTCAGTGGTGATTTGTGAGATTTTGGTACACCCATCAACTGGGTTTTATATACTCTACCCAGTGTGTTGTCTGTTATCACTTACCCTCCTCCCACCCTTTCCCTGGAGTCCCCAAAGTCCACTGTATTATTCTTATGCCTTTGTGTCCTTGTAGCTTAGCTCCCACTTGTGAGAACATATGGTATTTGGTTTTCCATTCCTGAGTAACTTCACTTATGATAAGGGTCACCAACTCCATCCAGGTTACTGCAAATGCCATTATTTTGTTTCTTTTTATGGCTGAGTACCATTCCATGCATATATATATTATATTTTCCTTATCCACTCATTGGTTGATGGCCATTTAGGCTGGTTCCATGTTTTTGCAATTGAGAATTGTGTCACTACAAACGTGTGTGCAAGTGTCTTTTTCGTGTAAATGTCTTAGATAAGATAAATTTTCGTTCTGTACATAAAATTACCTAATATTGGCCATGTGTGGTGGCTTATGCCTGTAATCCAACACTTTGGGAGGCCGAAGCAGGCGGATCATGAGGTCAGGAGTTCAAGACCTGCCTGGCCAGCAGGTAATCCCAGCCACTCAGGAGGCTGAGATAGGAGAATTGCTTGACCTCTGCGGACAGAGGTTGCAGTGAGCTGAGATCATGCCACTGTACTCCAGCCTGGGTGACAGAGTGAGACTCCATCTCAAAAAACAAAAAATTACCTAATATTTTCATTAGAATAATTACAAAATAAATCTAACCCTTAAAAGTTATTAATTTTTTCAATAAGCGTTTATTTTAGCTTTAGAGGTACACGTGAAGGTTCGTTACATAGGTAAACTCATGTCATGAGGATTTGTTGTACAGATTATTTCATCACCCAGGTACAAAGCCCAGTACTCAGTAACTATTGGGTTATTTTCTGCTCTTCTCTCTCCTCTCACCCTCCACTCTCAAGTAGACCCTAGTGTTTATTGTTCCCTTCTTTGTGTTCATATGTTCTCATCAGTTAGCTCCCACTTATAAGTGAGAACGTACGGTATTTGGTTTTCTGTTCCTGTGTTATTTTGCTAAGGATAATAGCCTCCAGCTCCATCCATGTTCCCAAAAAAGACATAATCTTGTTCTTTTTTTTGGCTGCATAGTATTCCATGGTGTATATGTACCATATTTTCTTTGAGGGGCATTTAGGTTGATTCCATGTCTTTGCTATTATAGTGCTGCAATGAACTTTCACATGCATGTGTCTTTATGGTAGAATGACTTATATTCCTCTGACTATATATCTAGTAATGGGATAGCTGGGTGGAATGGTAGTTCTGCTTTTAGCTTTTTGAGGAATTACCATATTGCTTTCCACAATGGTTGAACTAACTTACACTCCCTGTAGGGTATCATAGTTTCCTTTTCTCTGCAACCTCACCAGCATCTGTTATTTTTTGACTTTTTAACAGCCATTCTGACTGGTGTGAGATGGTATCTTCTTGTGGTTTTGATTTGCATTTCTCTAATGATCAGTGATATTGAGCTTTTTTTTTATGTTTGTTGGCTGTGTGTATGCCTTCTTTTGAAAAGTGTCTATTGATATCCTATGCCCACTTTTTAATAGGGTTGTTTGCTTTTCTCTTACAAATTTGTTTACGTTCTTTATAGATGCTGGATATTAGACCTTTATCAGATGCATAGTTTGCAAATATTTTCTCTCATTTTGTAGGTTGTCTATTTACTCTGTTGATAGTATCCTATGCTGTGCAGAAGCTCTTAAGTTTAAATCGATCCCATTTGTCAAGTTTTCCTTTTGTTGTGACTGGTTTTGGTGTCTTTGTCATGAAATCTTTTTCAGCACCTGTCCAAAAATATTAACTATGTAAGCGTTTACTAATATGTTGTCCTTGAATCTCCTAAAATAGGTTGGAAAGCTATATATATATGAATAGACTTTTCCCAGATGAAAGAATTTGAGCATTGAAGATGATATTTGAGTCTTGAAGGTGTCCATGACCTAAAGGCCATTAGCACTTGCTAATAACAAAATGAGAAACTACTTTAAGTGTCATTTTTATTTATATCAATCAATGTTTTGCATCTTGATGCTAAAATCATCTGGAACATTACCTAAAATGTAAGTGTGACTTTAAATTTAAACCTGTTTATTGGTCCCAATAATAAAATATATAACAACAACAGTAAATATTTTATAGCAATCACCATCTGCCAAACAATGTCCTAAGTATTTCATACATAGACTCTCAGCTACCTGCTGCAATAACCTTATGGACTAGGTGTATCATCATCACGCTTCACAGATGAGGACATTAGCATTTAAGTGGCTTGCCAAGATGAAGCAGCTAGCATGTCACAGCGGTAGTGTTAGTGCCAGGATTCAAACCCTTGCTCAAGAGGCTGCTTTGAACCAGCACATACGGTTGTCTTTCAAACCATGTATGCTTTCAAAGTATTCCTTTCAAAAATTCATACTATGAAAAGCTTACATCTATTTTTTTAATCAATTTGGTCATCAGAATGCAATTTACTTGGGTTAACATCAAAACAGGTATTATCACTTATACTGACATGCACTCTCAGCTTCAATAATCAACTCTGATGTTAAAAAACTTTTAAATATATATTTATATCGGTTTTTCAATGTACCTTCTGTTAGGAATACTGGAATGAAGTGATTCTTTATATGACTCTCCTACTGCTTTGCATTGTAGTATAGCCATAGGATAACCTGGAATGATCTTTTCTTTTGGTAGTTACACAATTGTGAACAAGGTAATCACTATGTAAAGTTCTTCTATAACTTTTTATATGTCTTTATTAAAATTGGTGTTATTTTTCATTTGTTCTGTAAAAGCCACATTATTTAATTTCCCTTAGATTTAGCTTGATAATGACTATATCCTTGAACCGATGATGATATTTTAAGGATAAGGCAGCTATTTTAGAGCTGCAAATGCCATCATGTGCAATGAGAAAAACTTTGGTCAATATTTATCTTCATAGAGCTGGTATCCTTCTATAGTAGAAGCTGAAGTATTCCTTCCTCTATAAAATTGTTTCATATGTTAAGTATCTACTTATACAACGGGAATATAGTATGTAACTAAGGAATAGTTTCTGCTTCCTACATAAAAAGACTTAAAAGATTTTTACTTTACGTTTTCATTGTCTGAAAGATAAGTTATAACATCTTGAGGTTTTCCTTGTGTTTGAGACATCATAGAGATTATTTCTTATCACTGAGCCAGATGCAGTATTTTATAGAGCTTGAATTGATAGAGAATTTAGAATTTTGGTCTCAATTTTTTTCATCATCATTTTACTTTATATTTTTAAACATTCCTCATTTTTTTCTTTTTTTTAAATTATACTTTAAGTTCTGGGGTACATGTGCAGATCATGCAGGACTGTTACATAGGTACACATATGCCATGGTGGTTTGCTGCATCCATCCCCCTGTCACCTACATTAGGTATTCCTTCTAATGTTATCCCTCCCCATATTTCGTCCAGAGTTGTTTGCTAAATTGGTTTCCCATTTCTTACCATTAGCATGATACTGCACCAACCAAATGTTTTTTACTCTGCTATTTATATGCCAATCTTCCCATTAGACCTAATTTAAATTCAGAGACTGAAATGTGTTGTCTATTTCTTCCTGACACCATTCCAGGTTACAGGATGGTGACTGCCACACAGTAAGTGCTCATTAGTTGGAAACTGAGTGCCTTAGGAAGACTACAGGTAGAATTTTACCAGAATTCATACTATGGAAAGATTACTTGGGTGAAGAGGTGAAAGAGGACAGGTTTTAGAAAATGAGAAAAAGCCTCATTGTAGAAAATAGCATTTGTGTTGTCCTTCAAATGGTGAACAGGACATTTGTGGGATAAAATGCTAGAAAATGGACTTGAGAGGAAATGTTGAATATAGATAAATAATGGAGAAACAGTATGGAAGAAAGAAGAATTACTCCTATCCATCTAGAATAGCAGGAAGAACGTGAAAGGCAAAAAAGGTCAAGATCACACTTTAAAACACTCTGGAGTTTAACAGTTAGATTTATTTTGTAGGTAATGTAGTAACTGTATTTGCATATTGCATAAGCATAAATTAAAAAACCATTAAAGGATTAGTCTACCTTTTTTTTTTAATTTAAAAGGAGGATAATTTAAACAGCATCTAACAGAATGCCTTGCACACAGCAGGAACACAATGTATTTTTGTTGAACAATGAATGAATTAATGAGCTGTATTTCAGAAAAATAATTTTTGCAGAATGTGGAGGTCAGAAGTAAAATTGAGAGTTAAACAATAGTTTAAGCTGGATTCTGTCTTCATCCTAAAGGCGGTAATAGCAAAATGGGCTACACATTTTTAATGATCAGCATGAGTCAATTCCCATCAACATAAGGTGTTATGAACTAAATGTCTGTGTACCCCCAAAATCCATATTGTTGAAGCCCTACCCCCCAAGGTGATTATATTAGAAAGGGGGGTGTTTGGCAGGTAATCAGGTTTAGATGAGGTCTTGAAGGTGTACCCTCATGATGTGATGAGAAGAAGAGGAAGAGACACCAGAACGTCTCTTTTAAACCAATTGAGGACACAGTGAGAAAGGGGCTATACACGAGTCAGCAAGACCTCACCAGACCTCGACCATGCTGGCAGCCTGATCTCAAACTTCACAGCCTCCAGAACTGTCATTTAAGCCACCTTGTCTCTTGTGTTACAGCATCCTTCTGTGGTCTGAATTTTGGTCACCTTCTCCTCAGGCTCATATGTTGGAACCTAATACTCATGGTGATACCATTAAGAGGTGAGGCTTTTGGAAAGTGACTAAGTCATAATGTTCCAATCTCATGAATGGGATTACTACCCTTATAAGAGATAAGTAAACAACCCTTTCTTGCGCAATATGAGGCCTCAACAGCAAGGCACTGTTTGTGGAGCACAGAGTGAGCTTTTACCAGACACAAAGTCTGCTGCCTTGATCTTGAAATCCTCAGCTTCCAGAACTGTGAGCAATACATTTCTTTTGCTTATAAATTACTCTATCTAAGGCATTTTTTGTGGCAATCCAAATGAACTAAGACAGCCTAAACTAACTAAGAGGCAAGGATTACCAAATAAAAATGTATGTTACTGGGCTTGCAAAATTATGGAATAGATATTAACTGTGACCATGCGTAAAAATGTTCAGCCCTTTCTGGCCCGTAAAATCTATATCACATATGATGAATGGGAATGTATTTGATTGACTTACTCCCTTTTCATCTTTTCAGACATGCAATACTTATACATAAGAGGAATATAATTCCTACATACTGTTTTGGTCTTTTTTAACTTTACTGAAAACATCTCTTCAATAGAATTTAGATACAATTTCAATATAATAATTGTGTGTGGATAGGATCTATAGGATAGAATAATTAGCCATTCTATTCTATCGATTTACCAGAAATAAGTTGCATTCATATTCTTTGTTATGTTTGACAGATTCCCAAGTTAGTTGGATTAGGAGATAATTCACTTATCACTTCTGAGTTAATGAACTGCAGAAATATTTTCCTCTTTATGGTTTTAAGTCTTTCTGTCTAATTACTATTTTCTATTAAGTTAATTTTTGTATGTGGCAACATAATGATTAGGACAATATCTTCGTCCTTTATTTTTGCACAGAGGTCAATAATTCAGAAATATGATCTCTTTCTCAGACCTTCAAACTTCTCCCATGATAGGAAGTTTTGTCATTATTATTCATGTTGTATCTGTAGTCAGGGGTTAATAAATGAAAAAAGATTGTATAAAGATTCCATATATCTATTCTATAGTTTCCTAGGACTTAGCTCTCCTCATTCTTTATCTGGATGTGTGTAAGCTTAATAGTGTTCTTCCTTGGCTCCCTGTGCTCATTAGCTTTCATAACTAAGGCACAAGAATCAAGTAGATTACAGAAAGCATTGCCTCTGAAGCCAAATATTCTGGCTTACTATTTTGTTTCTGCTATTTTCTACTTCTGGAATCTTAAGCCATTTCTAGACCTCCTAGGATCTCAGTTTCTTTACCTCTAAAAAGTGGATTACAATAGTACCCTTCTCATAAGGCTTTCGCGCAATTAAATGAGTTCATACACACGGAGAGCCAACAACTGTGTTCTGTGCTTACCATTAACCGTGACTCTGAGACTTATCTATCATCAGTGTTTTATCTCCTTTTTGTTCATTTTCTCAGATATTTCTTAGACTTTCATTCTTTCAGGTTTCACTTTCATGCTAATAATTCTCAAAGCATTTTTGTAACATCACCTCATAGATTTGCTACAATCCATATTTCTACCTAGAATATCTTGACTGAATTCCAAAATTTAATATGCTTATAGTTGGCAAATTATTCCTAATCCAAGTTATGAACCTTCCCTATTTCACTGTTTGTGTTACTACCACTAAGTGATTGTTGGTTTAGAAACCTAAAGTCATTCCCTCATGCATTATATTAAATCTTATATTTATTCTTCCCTCAAAGATCTTCTTATTTTCTATTTTTATATTTGCCTTTAATTAATCCCATCCTCTTCTCTCCTTACACCATTTTATGACTAAATTTGTGAAATCGCCTTCTAAAGCTTACCTTGTTTTCAATTCTATTTCTACTTTTTGTTAACTTTCATTACATTATTAGGTAAATTATTCTATAAAATAATTATTTAATAACCTCCTTTGGTTGGCAATGTATAATAACATTACCATCTCATCCTAAAACTCAGTTTAGCATTAAAAGGCATTTCCTGATTAACCACAATTTATCTACCAGTTTTATTATCTTGTTTCACTGGTAAGATTTATGTGAAATTGTTAGATATGTTTTATGTTACCCGGAGAGCTTGTTATAATGCAGACCCTTGACCCTTCCTCAGAGATTCTTATCATTATATAGATCTAAGGGGCCTGCATTTCCAAACATCGAAACAATTCACTCCGTAACAGGTTGTCTGTGAATCACAATTTGAGATATACTGTTTGGGATTCTGCTTTAAAGATCTTTTTAAATCCTGAAATATAGTATTGCCAGGGAAATTCCCCAAGTTAATAAGAATTTACTCAAGATAACAAAACTCAACATGGAATGATATGTAAGTATTGTGAAATTATAAATAAAAATATGTTAAACATATAAAAACATTTGCCATGCTGAAAAGAGAATTAAAATTGGAAGTCTTAATTGTGTCTTCATTAACTTTGTAAACATCACGAATCATTGAAACTCTCTAAGTTATAGTCTATTAGTTAATAAATAGCCTGCCTGCAACATATAATTGTTAAGAAGATCATATAAGAAAAAAATATATAAAATGTTATCAAAATCGCAATTCACAATAAAACGAACTGTTTTTATGATACTGGTGTTTTGAACCCCAAAGGATTTTTGAACATAAGGAGTTCAGATTACAAACTTCTAAGAAGTTTATATTGATTTTTATTCAAATACATACCATTATTTAAAAACACATAGTTAATAAGTCTAGCTTCTTGTTTACATACATGGAAACAAACTATAGGGAACATTAGATCTGCAAGGATTTTCATATTTCTAGGTATTATGAAGAATTATAAACTAAAACAATAATTAAATATCCTCTTTAACATTCAGTCTTAGTGTCTATATTGAATTTGCCTTATAAGGATGCCTGTTTATTTAGCAAAAAGTACTATATACTTTAAGCCAATCTGGTAAAAACATCAGAAAATAACTTGGAATGCACAGATTTAATTGTTCTTGGATAATTTGATTTCTAGTACAAATAATTTGAGTTAGGCTTCACTGAGAAGTAAGATTATCTTACATTTAGAAGAAAATATTGAAGAAAGCCAAATCTCCTCTCCAACTGGACGTTGTTGTGGACTTTAAAAATCTGACTCTGTGCCTGGAAACTTTAATAGAGTCTTAGAGTGCTGTTAAACTGAAACCTGAAATAGTGACTATTTATTAAGCAAAAGCCAGTTATAAAAGCTGCACTCTATTGCCAGGTAAGTCAATTACACTTTCAAAGTAATTTTCAGATTTCTCAACTGTTTCTCCTAAAATTAATTTTAAAATATAATCACTTTGTCACTGTGATTTTTAATTTTAATTAGTATGTCATTTTATCCTTAATAAAATAACCTATAAATTATTGATATTTATACTTAATTGCAAATAAAGAACTCCACAATAAGTTAAATTTAATTTCCAGTTATAAAATTAATTGTAAGCATTTTACTTTTCTTATGCAATATTTTTTTATTCAATATATAATGTGTGATATATCCTTGGTACCAAGTATCATTTTGAGTAGTAACAAACATGTCACAGCCTAGGAACTGTTATATCCAAATAGGAAATAATTAATACTAAAAATGCCTTTATTTTAATAAGATATTTAGTTTGAACAATACCAAATGCTATGAATATTTATAGCATTTTACTTACTTTAACATCCTTGGAATAGTATTCTTAATAAAGTCTTCACTTCCTCCCATTTTTCATCTTCAAAATATTGTTCTTATCATTTGTCTTCCCCCAGCCTCAATACCACATGCAGTTAACAAAAGATCAGAAACGAAATGGTTAACAGTTTATCCCCAGGCACTGACAGGAATGTGTTTTATGATGTTACACAGGAATTGTCATGCACTTAGAACATTCTACAAGCAAAATAGCAAGCTAGCCTAATATTATAATCTATTTTTTCTGTATTACTTAAAAATATATTTATAAATATAAATATCAGCTATTTAAAACATATTTAAATTAAACTACTTAAAACACTATTTAAAAAATAGTTGCACAGCTAAAGAGGCAAGAATCATCAAAATCCAAATATTTATTTCATGAAAAGGAATAATCCATATCAGATCTAAATACTATAGGTTCTCTAGATATATATATATATATAAATGTCTTAAATGTAATTTTGAGTGTCAAATATCCGTAAAAGATTTGTCCCCAAGCATTTTATGAGACTGTGTAATTGAATGATATTGCAATAGTCCATAGCAATGAAAAAGAAATGAGTTATACTACAATTCACTTGAACTTTTTAGTTAGAAAGCAAACAATGTAAAATAATGTTAGAAACTAAAACTACAATGATTGAAACCAAACTGTCAACTACTTTAAAAGTTAGAAAACATGATATATATTGTGCAGTTTTCCCATGACCTGTGGTGTCCTGTGTTTGATTAAACATTGGCATTGTCTTCCTCATCAGCAGTATCTTCAAGTAACTACACAGATTTTGTATGCATGAAGAGGCAGATAAAAATTTTGTGTAAAAATCAAGTTTATGACTGTGATATGACCAAAGGAAGGACAAAAGAGAAAAAAAAAAAAAAAAAAAAACAGGAAATTTTGAATTCCATTAATGTAGGACAGTTCTGATAAATATGGATTCTCTATAAATGTTTTCAAGAAATCTAATTTTTCATACTACTCAGTGACAGGAGAGTCTCAAACCATATTCAGGAAAGAGAGACACAGTAAAACTGTAATCCCATGCTTTGGAAATTAAACTGTTTAAGTGTGAATTTTTGTCTGATAACTTACCTGTTGTGTGACCTTGAACAGTTTACGCAACCTCAAAGTACTAAATCTTCTTCATGCAGAAGAAGAAAATGAGATATATTGTATTTTTAGTCACCTTTATATCCAATGCATCTTTAATCACCCTCCCTTTGGAAAAAACTATACATTCCCAGCATGTTGAACTCAGGCATGACCACGTGACCTGTTATGACCAATGAAATGTGTATGGAAATGGCATGTGTATTATTTTTAAATCAGAGGAGCAGTCCAGGGTTCTCAGGGGCTGTGTCCCTCTTCCACAATGTCTGCCCATGTCCTTCAAAAGACATGGAGTGGAGCCTCAGTAAGCCCATCTCGGACACAGAGCATAAGGGAGAAACCTTTGTTGATAGGCCACTGATATGTACCAGTTGTCTGTTAGCCTGGCTGCAGCTTAACCTAGTTTACCATGGTTGAGATGGGAGTATTCACCGGTGTTGATACCAAACCCTGATGAATGCAATACAGAACTGGAAGGGATTGACTATAGAATAGAGATAACAATGGAAAATAAATTGATGGAAAAATCTCATTTGAATAACAATAATATATTGTTTCCATGCAATCAAGCATTGCATTGGTAAGGTTTGCTTTTTTATCTCTATTTCTCCATATTGTCATTGTTCTTTTCTCATTATATATTTCCATCTTTTATGAGTAAAAGAT